TGAATGTGACCTTGATGATAGCATTATAATTCAACATACTTGCTAACTAAGTTATAAATGTATTAAAATAATCCTCTTATCTTCTCAATGTGACCTTGATGATAGCATTATAATTCAACATACTTGCTAACTAAGTTATAAATGTATTAAAATAATCCCCTTATCTTCTCAATGTGACCTTGATGATAGCATTATAATTCAACATACTTGCTAACTAAGTTATGAGTGTTAAAAGTAATCTCAACAAAAACACCTTAGGTATGACAAAAGAAGGTGTGACCAAAAAAGGATTCAGCGTGCAACTTTTTACAACAAATATTCATTCATTACTTAGCTAGGCCACATATTTTATTTTATTCACCATCATTCCCAAGTTGAACACAAAGTGTGGCCTGGCTAACTAATTAGTGAATATTTGTTGTAAAATTCTTATCGGCTGAAAAGTTTGCAATCAGTAATAACCATCCACTCGTATGATTCTTATAAAAACTTGAACTAGAAACTGCTGATCTAGTTTGCTTGGCCTAATCCATACTTATGTGTCTGCACGTCCTTTCATCTCATAGTTTTGCTGCTGTAAGTTAACCGTCTTTAATCTGAATGACAGTGCACTTTTACTCTTAGGTGAAGCTATAGTACAAATGTTAGATTGATAGCACACGTGACTGTGTGTGTAGGCATTTGCAAAAAATGTGTTTAACTTGAGTGTTTTTTGTTGAATAACTTTGCACATGTGGCTTATGTTTACAAATGAGACTCCTAATTGTAGGTTGTAAAGATCTGTCAGTGTACCAAATGTTTAAAAAAAATCCATAAAAGTTAAGTATGTTTTATATCAAATATATTTTCCGTACTTTTGGTGAGAAGGACAAATAAAGAAAAAGAAACTCAATCAAAATTGGAAATGTTATATCTAAGGTATTTCTGAATGGATTGCCTTGAAATTTGGTATGTCAAATAAGAGTCCAGTGGAGCACATCCACTGAAAATATATGTTATTTTGGATTATCACAGTTAACTTGTTCTAAGAAGAATTACTGAATAATCCAGCACAGATATATTGTTGCTATCAGCAAGGTCACATTGATGACATAAAGGAATTATTTTAACACTTACAACGTAGTTAGAAAGGTTAAATTATAATACTGTCATCAAAGGTCACACTGGAATGATAAGGGAATCAAGATGCATGGCAGTATGTCTTGTGACCAAAAAAGAACCTGCAGGACACACAGTGCATTATTAACAGGAGTGATAGTTTAGTAATTTTCCAACAACTGTAGTTTATACGGATTTTACAAAATCATAACTCTTCATAACATGGGTAAAATGTGCTGCTAGGACTGAAAACTGCAGTGTTTTGGTAAGGACACTGTCAAGCACTCAGATCACAGAGGACACTTATTTCAACACAGACACTGTTTGTAAAATGAATGATAAAAAATACGGATTTTACAAAAACATAACTCTTCATAACATGGGTAAAATGTGCTGCTAGGACTGAAAACTGCAGTGTTTTGGTAAGGACACTGTCAAGCACTCAGATCACAGATGCTACTTATTTCAACACAGACACTGTTTGTAAAATGAATGGTAAAAAATACGGGTTTTACAAATTGTCTTACTAACCATGCAAGGTCTTCAGAGTTGTTATACGTTACATACTTATAGTATAGATATTGCGAAGGCACACTATAAACTTGTACCCTCCAACCTTTTCACACTACTGAAATATAAGCCAGAAAGTCAAACCCACATGCCAACCAATCACATCCTGGCCAAAAATACTCTCATACACTTTTTATTGGATTATTTATTACCAACAGAAGGTTTTAATTTACTGATTTCCATGTAAAGCTTTTTTACCATTCATTTTACAAACAGTGTCTGTGTTGAAATAAGTTAAAGCTGCTTACCATGCTTAAGATACATACAAAATTTGGCAGACTCCGAGTAAACATTACAAGTCTGTTGTACACAAAACATCAGATTTTTTAATAAAGTATTTTTACTAGAGATTTTTCTATAAATATTAATTTTTTGTTTACTATTTTGCATGCAAATTGATTTTCATATTAAGTTTAAAAATACTTTTCTTCATCTCAAAAAGCTCAAATTTCATTTGCATAATCTGTAAAATCGCCTAAATAAATTTCAAACGTTTTTTTTCTGTAAACCTTTATATTTTATGTACCCTAACTCTATACAAGGTTGGTCAATTTGATGACCTCATAACCACCAACAAATTTAAATAGATCTAAATTACCCTTTTTTTTCTTTCTAGAATGACTTCATATCGTACCCATATTTGTTTATCCTAAACAGTATACATCTATTTATACTTAATCTTATTGTTTTATTGCCCTTTGAACTGTGCCTAATTAGTATTTGAGCTATTATAAGTTGTAAATCACTTGACAAACATGCAGTTCACATTACGCTTTTAAATTACATTACTCGCAAGCTGTTTGCAAATTTACCTTGTGAAAAATATTATTATTACTTATTTTACCTTATCTAATCTAAATATTTTCTTATTTTTATATTTTAGCTACTGGGCTGTCGTCTTTTTTTTGTTTTTGCTGTCGACTGTTGACGATACTTAACTATTTTTTAATACTAATGATAGTACTGCACTAAATAACTTTATTGAATTAAATAATGTACCAAAGAACACAAAATAATAACATACAAAAAAACAGACAATACCTCATAACTATCACAATTTTTCTGGCTTCTAAACTATGCAACAAGAGCCATTAAAAATTCCTATAAGCTCGTTGATGTGTTTCTCTTTTTTCTATTTTATTGCTCTATAACTAAATAAGACTCAAGGCTACGTAAATTATACTTTGCCTGAGCAATGACAACATTATAAGGAGTGAATAACATTAAATTTTGAACTTCTTGGTAGGGTAGAGAAAAGAGGAATGCCTAGAGAGAAAATGTCACAATTCTCATACTAGGGGAATTCAGGAATTTTTTTTAAATAGCCTTATAAAATTATGAATTTAAAATGTATATACTTTTAAAATATGGATTATTAGCTATGTTTTTATGCTATATTTATTAGTATAAAAAAATAATTTAACTCTCAACCCAGGCTTAGTCCCATGGATCAACCTCGTAACCATTTTGTGCTTGTTATAGTTTTTATGCCATAACTTTTAAATTAGTAAGAATATGTTAACAAAATTTGGCAGATTTTGTAAACATTACAAGGCTTGCATACATAAAATATCACATATTTTTTATTAAGTTTTAAGATTTTTTAAGTAATGTTTTTCTCATGATGCCTTTTTCCATTTCAAACGTTGACAATCCAACATGCAAAGTAATTTTGATTTTAAGAAAAATTTCAAATTTTACATGCAAAATCTTAGTAACCTCTAGATAACTATCAAATGTTTTTTTAAGAAACAAAATTTATACTTTATCTGTTATTTTCACTGTCGATTCTCTGTACAGGTTCGGTCGATTTGACCGACCTCATACGTAACATAGAAAATTACGAAATAAATATAAATTATGCTTCTTTTATTCTAGAATGACTACAAATTATAACAGGAAAATACAAATGTTTAGTCTAAATAGCTTAAACCTCATAACATTATACATTTATATATATTTATTATATTAACATTTCAGCTGTGCCTGGCTAACCTTACAGAAGTTGCAATGATGCATAGACAGAAGTAAGTGTACATAAATGTTTCCAAAAATGGAAAGAGGTGGGTGGGGCCACTGTGTTTGATTCAGTAAATGTATCGATATCTCAGCAAATAGAAAAGACAGAAGGTTCTTATTTGATATTCTAGCTTGTCAATATTGGTAATTTGAGTTCCTAATTTGTATGAAAATATAGAGTTTGTATTTGGACATCACAAACATTTAATTTGAACCAATGCTACATTCAACATACTACAGGACACATAAAAATCAATATTTAGGTGTGTTTTTTTAATATTTACTTTTAAATTAAGAAATTAAATAATGTATAATACTAAAATTTTAATTATAATCTACAATTTGATACCAAATTTATTGACATTAATTCATAAAATAGTAGTTCAATAAAATTTTGAATGCAATGACATAGCCTTTGACCGATTGTTGATAGGGTTAATTAAATTTCGAATATAACTCACTAAAATTTCATGACATGCACAGAAAATATGCCCCTGGAGAAAGGGTTAAGTAATAAAGATAAGAACAGAGATATATGCATAAAAAAATTCCACACCTAAAAAATTACGTAAAGCTATGTTAAAACATAACTCTTCATAACATGGGTAAAATGTGCTGCTAGGACTGAAAACTGCAGTGTTTTGGTAAGGACACTGTCAAGCACTCTGACCACAGATGCTTGTACGTTTATTTATTTAAACACCTTTTGACTGTTGTATAGCAAAAGTATAATGAGTACAAAATGGTCAGTCAAGTAGCGTAGCAAGAGAGTTAATATAGAATGTAGTATTTAGGTATTAGAGAAAGTCTCCCAACAGATGTATGTATCTTAAGCTATGGCAAGAAATGTACACAAAGCTGATTTATTTATTTAAACACCTTTTGACTGTTTTATAGCAAAAGTATAATGAGTACAAAATGGTCAGTCAAGTAGCGTAGCAAGAGAGTTAATATAGAATGTAGTATTTAGATATTAGAGAAAGTTTCCCAACAGATGTATGTATCATAAGTTTGGCAAGCAGCTTTGTGTACGTTTATTTATTTAAACACCTTTGACTGTTTTATAGCCAAAGTATAATGAGTACAAAATGGTTACAAGGTCAGTCAAGTAGCGTAGCAAGAGAGTTAATATAGAATGTAGTATTTAGGTATTAGAGAAAGTTTCCCAACAGATGTATGTATCTTAACTTTGGCAAGCAGCTTTGTGTACATTTATTTATTTAAACACCTTTTTGACTGTTTTATAGCAAAAGTAGATATGTTTGTGCACTAGTTTTTCCCTTTATGCCTACAGTATGCTATTGCATTACACCAGAACATTTATTCATTTGCTGGTACAGTACAGTAGTACATTTTATTATTTGGCAAGTTACTCAATTAATTAATTAATATAATCAATTAACCCAGCAGAATTGATTACATTGGTTAGTGTCACACAATATCTATTAACAGATTAAATTGATGTCATGAAAATAATCAACAAATTACCTTAAATACACTAGCAATATTTCATGTGGTATAAGTACTAAAGAAGGAAAAAACATTTACATGTTTCCAGGAGACAGTCTTCAAGTTTTGTTAGTTCCTGTGCAGATGGTCCTAGTATTCAGAGTAACTGTTTAACTACTGAAAACTAGTGAAAAAGTGGATACTAGTAAGCCTAACATTTGTGATAAAATTCTGAAAACAATAATTTTTTTTTTAGCCATGTTCCTTTTAATCACTCAAGAATGTGTAAAAGTAACATTTCACCATCCAACCCAGTCAAGAAGTCTGGTATTCAATGAAAGGACACTTTGTCATCACTGTGATAGGCATAGGATTATCTCAAATACTAGTCGTATGCACCTCTTGGTTTGAAATCAGAAGTTTATAAAGTAAGAAGAAGGTAAAAAGAAACAGCTTACACAAGTTTTGTTTTTGTTTTTAGAT